CTTTTGTAATATTATATGGTTTTCTCTTGAAGTATCAAGTGTCTTAGAGGTTTTTCTAATATCCAGGCTTGTTGCCTCCACTTAGCCCTTGAAAAGTCCTGAATCAAAAATAGACTGTTTTGCTATGTTCTGAAATCTAGCGCTATATATTATAAGGGAGTTAAAGGACATCCTTTGGGAAGATGACCGGGTCTCAGTTCTCTGAGAGCCTATGCAAAGCCGTGCAGAGAAAATTGGAAGGGCTGAGCATGTGTGTGAAGCTGTTGACTCGTTAAGGACTTGCTGGCCTGCTGGTGGGCATCTCTGAGAAAGGAGGAGAGGGCTAGTGGCTCAGAGTTTGCAGGGAAAGAACTGCTGTTTCTAAAGGAGCAACCACCTGCAGTACGCAGAAGGTTCTTGATCATCATCATGACTTACTAATCTGCTAATCAGAGACACTCCAGGCGGTGGCGGTTCGGTTTTCTAAAGCACGTCTTGCTCAGGAGAGGCTATGGTAGGAAATACTGCAGCCTCGGGGAAATGTCAGGTGATGGGACCTTCACTCCTCTGACTCAAGAAACCACATGCACAATGAGCACAACCAGACACTGCCTTGAAGTAGGCAAGATGCTTTTTAATGACGCCCAAATGCATCAATGCTCAAGCATTTACTTTTACACAGAGACGGGGAGAAGGAAACCTCCAGGTGCCGTTCCTCCTGTGGCAGCGAAATACCTTCTTGTGTTTATTCCTCCCCGTGTTACTAGCAGTGACATTAACAGTGGTGTTCATGCTGGTTTACCAGGTGGCTTACAAGTTTTCCTTGGACTTCCCCGTGGTTGCATATGATTCGAAGCAAATAAAGTATTTTTATCCCTACTTCATCAAAAGGAATGGCTTCACCACGCTGCTACCTTTGCTGAGGTCAAGCAGCTAGACTTTAAGGAGAAGTTCGACTTTGATTCTAGGCTCATTTTGAAAAAAAAAAACACCACAAGACAACAAAACGATGTATAAACAGTGTGGGCTTTGCATCCAGACTCCACCACACACTACCACTGCAAACGGGGCAAGTCGCTTAACCTTGCTGGCCTTAAATCTCCCACCTGTAACATGGTGTGGTAGTTGCTAATTTGCAAGGTCCTTGAAAGGGTTAAGTGAGTTCAGAGGTTCTGACAGGCTGCAGTGCGCCTGTGTATAACATGAACTCCAGAGCCAGACTCCCCAGGTCTCAGTCGCACCTCCACCTCTGCACTGTGTGACCTAGTGTAAGTGACTAACCCTCTCTGAGCCAGTAAAATGGAGATGATAATAGTACCTACTTCAGAGGGTCATTGTGAGGATAAAAGACTTCATCTAACCAAAAGCACTTAAAACAGTGCCTGCCCCTTAGTAAACACTGTATAAGTATGTGCTATGATTGTGATAGATTATGATGGTAATTGTGGTTATCCATCAAGTGTCCGGCACAAATGGTTGATCAAAAAGGATTAACTGTTGTTGTTTTTTGCAATTCCTATTACTTCTCCCATCAGAGCACTTGAATTTTAAGGAGCCTGAAGGGAAAAGCAATCGTATTACAAGTCTGTTTTTTGTTTTAACTAAACAGATTTCAACAGGGTCCTTTCCAAAATCTTATTCCTTCTGGGACTCAGAATCTGATCTTATACCACAGGAGAAAGGCGGTTTTCTCTCTCAATGCCCCTTAAAGCAAGAACAGATTCCTGAGCCTCACCCCACACCTTCTCAGTGAGAAATTCTGGGGCTGCACCCACCGGTCTGATTTTGTTTTTGGTTTGGTTTTCAATGCCCATTGACTGTTTTTGTAAGTCTATTTTTTGGAGTATAAGTTAACAGAAAAATGGAGAGGAAGGTACAGAGATTTCACATCTACCTTCTGCATATGCACAGACTCCCCCACTATCAACATCCCCCACCAAAAGGGTGCATTGGTTACAATTGATGAACCTGCTACAATTGATCACCCAAAGTCCCTACTTGGGTTGTACATTCTGTGGGTTCAGACCAATGTATACTGATATGTATCCACCATATAGCATCACACAGAGTATTTTCCTGGCCCTGAAAATTCTCTCTGTTCTGCCTAATCATCCCTCCCTTCCCCCACCCCCTGGCAACCACTGATCTTTTTACTGTCTCCATGGTTTTGCCTTCTGTCTGTTTTAACAAGCGTTCCAGTGAGTCTCATGTTTTCTAAAGTTTGAAAACACAAGATATAGACTCCTACAACCTTGACTGCTTTCTATTGCTGGGGGTGGTGGGGGCATCAACAAAGACTTGGCTGCTCCATCTGTTTGACAGGTGTTCCAGCCCAAGAAGTGTTAAATGACTGAATTAAGCAGAAATAGAGTCAGGTGGGGCGTGGGGAGGGGAAAGCAAACTTGGAGAGCATGTGAGGCTATTGATAGGTCTGGAACAGAACGTTTTGGAGTTGGGTCGTCTGGAAAGTACTGATGTCACATCTTGTGCCATATTGCTGGAGTGATGGATAGGAGGAGAGATGCCTTTTGAATTTTTATGAGAGCTTAAAATGAAAATCATGTCAGCCTTCAGAAGTCAGAGCTGTTGGTACAAAAGGTCACCAATGCCAATTGGTGGCATGGCAGAGCTCAGCGAGGGAGTATTAAAATAGCAAACTTTTTTCTTTTGTTTTGTTTTCTTTTTTTTTAAAGCACCAGTTGCACTATGTTTTGAGTCTCAGTCTTTTGCCATCTTGCTGCCCCCAGGATCTTAAGTAAAAAGACAAGTGAAAAGAGAAAACCACCAAGACAGTTTTCCATCTCCTACAGGGAGGAGGGTAGATAGTTGGTTGTTGTCCTCAGACTTAGGGCTATGGAATATTTGTGGTGGAGGAAGCAAAGCAATTAAATGGTGACTTCATGGGAAAGTGATAGTGGGGTGACTAAGCAGGACAGATTGATCGTGGCCATTTCCGGTGACGTCAGCATTTATTGGGGACCTAAGCCCTGTGCTAGATGTGGTTTGTCTGGGGTTCAGCCTTGGGTGACTGAGGCTTCTAGTGCCTTAGAAAAAGAAACCAGTCTTGGCGGTGGGGTGGGAAGGTTGTACAGTGATGGCGAACCTCTGACACGTGTGTCAGAGGTGACACGCGAACTCATTTTTTTGGTTGATTTTTCTTTGTTAAATGGCATTTAAATATATAAAATAAATATCAAAAATATAAGTCTTTGTTTTACTATGGTTGCAAATATCAAAAAATTTCTATATGTGACACGGCACCAGAGTTAAGTTGGGGTTTTTCAAAATGCTGACACGCGGAGCTCAAAAGGTTCGCCATCACTGTTGTAAGATATTAGTTTTGGTTTGTATATACTGGATGTGTGATGATAGAACAGCATCCAAATAGGCTTAAAGGGCCTGAGAGTCATATGCATTGATACAGTTTTTGAAGCCATTAGGAATGGATTGATTATCTACATAATTAAGGAAATCTGAGGGTCAATAATCAAACCTTTAGGGAGGCTGCAATTATAGCAAATAGAATATGAGAAGTCAGTGAAGGAATGAGCCCACCAGAAAAGGTAAAAGTTGTCCCCAGACCATGTTCTAGCATAGAAATCAAGAGGATACATTTTTTTTTTCAAGAAGAGAGATAGGTTCTTTGTTAAAAGTGTGAAGAAATAAAAACAAAGCATGTGTGTGGCGGGGGGGAGGAGTTGCTAAGTAAAAATGTTAACTCAAAAAGAAAGTATTGTTTTATAAAATAGATGGTTTGTTATATTCACTTGAGTCAGGGTTTCTTAACCTCAGCACTGTTGATGGTTGGGCTGGATAATTCCTTGTGATGAGAAGCTGTTCCGTGCATTATAGCATGTTTAGTAACATCCCTGGCCTCTACCCACTGGATGCCAGTAGTAAAACTACCATCACCAGTTATGACAATCAGAAAATGTCTTCAGACAATGCCAGATATTCTTGGTTGAGAACCACTGATTTAAGTATTAATTTAGCTCCCTCTGTATACATAGTACTACATTAGGCACTGCAAGGCATAGAAATATGATACCCTTTCACCGTTAAGAAGAATGCATTCAAATATTCTTCTATATCTCCTATTATGCTGATTACAATTATATATACATATAATCATATACACACATGTATATATACATATGTGACAATAATTCCCCAAGTTAACATTATGTCAGTTTAATTATGGAATGATATTGGAAAAGTGGTACTTTGGAAAGACTGGTGACCCAATGCTATGTGTTTTATCACAGATCAGTGTAGGAAATTTTGATTGTGGATCCATATCAATGGCAATATTAGTAAGCAGTTTCCAAATTAAATTTTGTGTATTTCTAAAACTCAAATTACTTTTTTGTTCTCTCACTTTTTATAAGATAAAATATTCTTCCTGATCCATAGGCACGTTATAGAACTTCTGAATTTAAAAAATTATGAGTGTACCATTTATCTTTTGGTAGAAATTATGGTGCTACCTACTGAAAGTGTTCTGGCAAGTTTCAAAGTTCTCAATAAAAGAAAGATGGAGATTTGGGACTATAATTTGACTTTAAAAATATTGGTAGGAGCCCTAACTGGTTTGGCTCAGTGGGTAGAGCGTCGGCCTGCAGACTCAAGGGTCCCAGGTTCAATTCCGATCAAGGACATGTACCTTGGTTGCAGGCACATCCCCAGTAGGGGGTGTGCAGGAGGCAGCTGATCGATGTTTCTCTCTCATCGATGTTTCTAACTCTCTATCCCTCTCCCTTCCTTTCTGTAAAAAATCAATAAAATATATTAAAAAAATATTGGTAGGAAGGATTACCACAAAAATAATTTCATGACAAGAAAAGTCCTTGGTGTTGGGAATAAGCTCTCCATCCAAAGAAGCAGCCTGTCATCTCTCCAAGCCTAGCTTCCTCATTGCTTAGGAGCAGAAAAAAAAAACCTAACTCCTGTTTTGCTGCTGGTAACATTGAACAAGGCCCCGACTATTGAGGCTAATCCCGGGACGCATGTTTGCCTTGCAGACTGCATCATCTGCCATCAAAGGTGCTATCCAGCTGGGCATAGGATACACAGTGGGTAATCTCACGTCCAAACCAGACCGAGATGTTCTCATGCAAGACTTCTACGTGGTGGAAAGTGTGTTCCTGCCCAGGTAAGAAGATGTATTTTTTTGTGTGAATTTTCATGCTAAAGAACCCTCCTTGCGACACCCCACATTGAAGACTTTTTGCCAGTGCACACGTAAAGCAGCGCAGACTCAAAGCAGCCCAGCTGATGGTTACTTTCTGCCACATCAGGTGGCCTGCATTTTCTCTATGGAGATGGGAAACGGGTTTCCTCCTGTGGGCCAGTTGTCATTAGCTGTGATGTTGCCTGAAGGACCGAAGGGAGAAAGACTGAGAGTCAGTGGGAAAGAATGCAGCCATTACAGAGTACTGTCTGCGTAGGTTTAGAATAAGAGGACGTCTGAGAAGCAGCAGCTGGCACCAGGTTCTTGTTACCCTTAATTTAAAAGGGGGGCTGGGAGGACCCACAATTAGGCATGCATTTGAGTTCACTCATTTAGCTCCTTTTTTAACTTAACTCGTTCCACTTAATTTTCCTCAAGAAAACTGATGAGAATCCCAATATTTTGATACCGTGTTTGCAAAAACACCCACGTTACCCATACATGCTACCTTAACTTAATTGCATTGGGGGAAGGGGATAATCAATTCAGCAAATAATCTGAGTTTGGATGATGGTGATGGTTGTACAACAGTGTTAATGTACTGAATGCCACAGCACTGTGCACATGAAAACGGTTATAATAGCAAGCTTTATATTGTGTCTGCTCTACCAAAATAAAGTAAATAAACCAAAAATTTAAGTCCAGTACTAGCTTAGTCTAGGAAGAGAAGTAATCATTATTACATTGGAAATGTCACCACTGCTGACAGGATTTTTTTATATAAATATTTGATTCTAGATACAGCATATTTTCCTATTATAATGTTTCTGCTTTTACCTAAATATGTCTTACTCATGGTCTAGCAAATGAATTTGTTTTGGGGATTGGAGGTAATTATTTTATCTTTTGGTTCTATGAGGATTGACTTGTCAGACACATTTATTTTTTTAAAATATGTTTCTTCAAAATGAGCCACTTTTGTTATTAATGATTACTGGGCTTGTATGAGAATGACTGGGTGAAAGTTCAGCTCTCAGTGTTCTCATTACCTTACTTTTAAAAAAAATTTCCAGAGGATGCCCAGCCGGCATGGCTCAGTGGTTGGGCACCGACCTATGAACCAGGAGGTCACGGTTCTATTCAAGGTTAGGGCACATGCTTGGGTTGTGGGCTCAATCCCCAGTGTGGGGCGTGCAGGAGGCAGCCAATCAATGATTCCTTCTCATCATTGATGTTTCTCTCTCTCTCTCTCTCTCTCTCTCTCTCTCTCTCTCTCCCTTCCTCTCTGAAATCAATAAAAATATATTGATTTCAGAGGAGTGCTACTTACATTTATCTGTATGTCCAGATGTCTGCTGGCTGGAAGTAACGCCTGTAGGTGACAGTGCCCACCTAACCACAAAGGGGCCCATAAACACTGAAAGTCAGGTGTGAATCCAGACAGACTCATTTTCCTTCAAATGCTCTTGGTTGAAGAATAAAGTTGATCTATCAAAATTTTTGAAGTGTGCTCTTCTAGGGTCCCCTAGCAGATACGAGAACTAGTTTCCATAGAGAAAATGGACAACCCCAAGGCCTAAGATATAATCCTGTTTGCTTATGACACTGCTCTTCTTTCTAGAGCTGGAAATTGTTCCATGTTTTTGTTTTTAATAGTCTGTTTGTCACTCCAGAAAACAATGCATGAACTACACACTTTGATATAACTTCGGGAGGTCATGAGTTTACCTCAACCTTTTGGTATGTTCTGTTAGACCCACAATTCTTATAAATGTGTTCTCAGGATGTTCGAGCTCTCGTGATCTTCCAGGGCCTTTTCCCAGATATGTCAGTCTTGTTCTTTGTAGCTGAAGAAAAAAAAATAAGGGGAGCAGAGGCCGTTTGTGGGAGGGTGGCTGGCAGTGAGTTCAGGGTGGTGGGAGCAGGTAGCTGAAGATGGTTCATAAAGAAGGGCAGGGTGCTCCATCATTGCTCATCTCTTTTCCTCACGGTGTCCAATCAACAGAGCCAACCATTGCTGGGCACTGGGGAAAGCGTGGGCCAACATGTGGTCCTCAGACCTGCAGTATCAGCATCACTTGGAACGTGTTAGAGATGCAGGTTCCTGGGCTCCACCCCAAGTCAGCTGACTCAGAAACACTGGAGGTGGGATCCAGGAATCTACTTTGATAATCCTCCAGGTGATTAAAAGTCAGAGAACCACTGGCCTAGACATTACTTCCAATTTGAAGGTATAATCTTCCTAGTAAATAAAAAAATTTGTTCTTAGACTTATTACTTGTAAGAATCATGTAATAAAACTCCATGATTTTAAAATTAATCTTAAATATTAAAATTAAGTCTATTTAGCAACTAAATTATACATGACACTGTATGAGATACTTTACAATAAGGAGCACATAAATAAGGTCTTCATAGGCACTTTTTTATAATTTATTTTTCAATTACAGTTGACAAACAAGATTATATTAGTTTCAGATGTGCAACATAGTGATTGGACATTTCTGTTACTTACAAAGTGATCACCCCAATAAATCTAGTACTCATCTGACACCATACATAGTTATTATTGACTATATTCCCTGTGCTGTACTGTACATCCCCATGACAATTTTTATAACTGGAAATTTGTATTTTTTAATCCCTTCACCTTTTTCACCCATTGCCCCAACCCTTCCCATCTGGAAACCATCAAATTGTTCTCTCGTGTGTGTGTGTGTGTGTGTGTGTGTGTATACACACACACACAGTGTGTATATATATATATATGAGTTTTTTCTGTTTATTTTATTTTTTAGATTCAGCCTATAAGTGAAATCATATGGTATTTGTCTTTCTCTGTCTGATTTATTCACTTAGCATAATATCCTCTAGGTCCATCCATGTTGTCACAAATAGCAAGATTTCATTTTTTATGGCTGATTAATATTCCATTGTGTGTATGTGCATGTGTGTGTGTGTGTGTGTGTGTATAATCTTCTTGGGCTGCTCATCTATTGATGAACACTAAGTTGCTTCCATACTTGGCTCTTGTAAATAGGGCTTCAGTGAATATAGGGGTGCATATATCTTTTTGGATTAGTGTTTTGGATTTCTTCAGATAAAATACTCAGCAGTGGAATTGCTGGGTCATATGGTTGTTCGTTTGTTTGTTTTTTTTTGAGGAATCTCCAAACTGTTTTCCATAGTGGCTGCACCAATTTACAATCCTACCAACAGTGTACAAGGGTTCCCTTTTCTTTACGTCCTCATCAACACAGTTGTTTGCTGATTTATTGATGGTAGCTATTCTGACAGGTGTGAGGTGATATCTCATTGTGATTTTAATTTGCATTTCCCTGATGATTAGTAATTTTGAGTATGATTCCATTTATCTATTGGCCATCTATATGTCTTCTTTGGAAGTCTATTCAGGTACACTGCTCTATTTTAAATCAGAACGTTTGTTTTTTTGGTATTAAGGTGTATGATTTCCTTATGTATTTTGGATATTAACTCCTTATCGGGTATATCATTGGAAGATATTTTCTCCCATTCAGTAGATTGTCTTTTTGTTTTGTTCATGGTTTTTTTTTACTGTGCAGGAACTTTTTAGTTTAATGTAGTCCCATTTGTTTATTTTTTTCCTTTTGTTTCCCTTGCTCAAGGAGATATTTTCAAAAAACATTGCTAAGAGTGATGTCAAAGAGTTTACTGCCTATGTTTTTTTCTCTTTTTATTGTGTCAGGTCTTACATTTAAGTCTTTAATTCATTTTGAGTTTATCCTTGAATGTGGTGTAAGAAAGTGGTCTAGTCTCATTTTTTTGCATATATATGTCCAGTTTTCCCAATACCATTTGTATATTCTTGCCTCCTTTGTCATAGATTATTTGACCAGAAGAACGTAACTCTTGTTTATATCAGCTAGTCTATAGTAAAATTTATTTTGTTATACATCGATCTCAGCAATTCCAAGAACCTATCAATGATGTTAAGGGAGGACTTACTGCATCTCCTTTGCAGTGATGGCGAACCTTTTGAGCTCGGCGTGTCAGCATTTTGAAAAACCCTAACTTAACTCTGGTGCCGTGTCACATATAGAAATTTTTTGATATTTGCAACCAAAGTAAAACAAAGACTTATATTTTTGATATTTATTTTATATATTTAAATGTTATTTAACAAAGAAAAATCAACCAAAAAAATGAGTTCGCGTGTCACTTCTGACACGCGTGTCATAGGTTCGCCGTCATTGCACTATAGCAATCAAAATGCCACAAAAAAATGATGAATAAATTCAGTGTTGTGATTGTGGCAATGGTTTCACTGGGGTATACACATGACAAAATTCATGAACTTTATTGTATGCCAATTATATCTCCACAAAGCTGCCCAATAATGCTTCCTCCCTACCCACCCATACTCTACACTTGCCTGGGGAGGAGCATGAGGGAAGGTGGGGCGGACTGGCTCTTGTTGGAAGCGACTGAAGCCTCTGGTGAGTCTGTCCAGGTCATGGAGGGAACGCATTCCTTGGGGCGCCTTGAGATGTTTTCATCACTGCTGCTGTGAAGCTGCAAAATCCGTTTCCCTTAGCAACCCAGTGTATTGTGTTATTTTTTATTTATTTATTCGAAAACGAGTCAAGGTTATTTTTAGATAGTATGTACTTGGTCTACAGGTTACTTCATTTTATGGATGGAAAAAGCTCTGGACCTGATTAAGATTTGAAGGGGGATATAAAAGCCCTGTCAACAATTTGGTTCTGTGCTTTTCCAAAATTACCAAGTAGATGAGTAGAGAACCATGACCAGATCTTAATATTTTGACCCCATTTCTGTGCTGTGATCATAAATTCAAGATTGCAGATACATTTCCATGTGCAAGTAAGATTAGGAGGAAAGGATGTTTCATAACATTTGTACCATGTTTAGATATTTGGTAGTTGCAACAGAGGTGGCAAAGGGAGGTAAGGTTTATAAGTACCAACTATGCACCAAGC